AAATAGAACGGAATTAAAATTAAAAAAAAAATACCGTCATTAAGTTCATCGATCCTTTTTTTTTACAAGTTCTTGTTATATATATTCCAAACTCAACTGAATCAAAGATTTTCTTTTGTAAAATTGGTAAAACTGCATCGCAATTATCTTCTCAAATAAGATGAAGTTAAAATTAATGCAATCTCAAACATACAAAAACGTAATTGTTTTGGTTGTTATCTTTTCTGAGTTATTTCATTTTAACAAAATTTTAAAGTTTAACTTCGGAAGAAGAGAGAAAAATAAATTAAATGTAACAAGATACCGTGATTTGGATCCTTCTTATATTTGAACAAGAAATAATTTTTAATGTGTTTCGGATTCCAAAAATTTCTCATAACTTTCTTATCTTCTACTTTCCATGTCTTCCGATGTATGATACATAATGCTGTGAAATAAGTTATAAATGTATTATCTAATGTCTAGTGTGAATATTCTAAATATTTAATGACTGGCGTGCATTTATTCCATTTGCTGACGATAGATATTTTTGTTTTGAAAGTGTATTCTATTGCCTAGAAACTAATATTTCAGCGTTTTGTTAATTTTAACTGGATGAAAAGAAAAAATAATTAAGAGATACCGTCATTACGTTCATTTATAGTTTTATTCTCAAAATTTCTTGTTCCAGGTATATCAAATTTTCCTCCATTCTAAAATTTGTAAACTGCATCTCTATGCTCTTCTCAAATATATTGATGTCTAAAGGATTCCAAAATCCTAGATACGAAATCATTAGTGTTTTGTTTATAACGTATTCTAAATTTTTACTTATCAGCAAATATATTTATTAATCAGAATTCTAGAAAAATAAATTAAATGTTACAAGATACCGGCATTTCTCTCCTTCTTAGACTTGAATAAAAAATTATTTTCACCCATTTTCGTATTCTTAAAATATTTCATTTATTTATTTTTTAAACTTCTTTATTTTATACTTTCGACCTTTTCCAACGATAGCTACTTAATGCTATGCAATTAGTTTTAAATGTATTATCCAGTGTATGGTAATATTCTTAATATTTTGTTACCGGCATTCATTCATTCTATTTGCTGACTATATTCAAAAAGGTACTTTAGTGTTTAAAGTGTATTCTATTGCCTAGAAACGAAAATTTCATCTTTCTTTCATTTTATCTATATGGAAAAATAGAACGGAATTAAAATTAAAAAAAAATACCGTCATTAAGTTCATCGATCCTTTTTTTTTACAAGTTCTTGTTATATATATTCCAAACTCAACTGAATCAAAGATTTTCTTTTGTAAAATTGGTAAAACTGCATCGCAATTATCTTCTCAAATATGATGAAGTTAAAATTAATGCAATCTCAAACATACAAAAACGTAATTGTTTTGGTTGTTATCTTTTCTGAGTTATTTCATTTTAACAAAATTTTAAAGTTTAACATCGGAAGAAGAGAGAAAAATAAATTAAATGTAACAAGATACCGTGATTTGGATTCCTCTTATATTTGAACAAGAAATAATTTTTAATGTGTTTCGGATTCCAAAAATTTCTCATAACTTTCTTATCTTCTACTTTCCATGTCTTCCGATGTATGATACATAATGCTGTGAAATAAGTTATAAATGTATTATCTAATGTCTAGTGTGAATATTCTAAATATTTAATGACTGGCGTGCATTTATTCCATTTGCTGACGATAGATATTTTTGTTTTGAAAGTGTATTCTATTGCCTAGAAACTAATATTTCAGCGTTTTGTTAATTTTAACTGGATGAAAAGAAAAAATAATTAAGAGATACCGTCATTACGTTCATTTATAGTTTTATTCTCAAAATTTCTTGTTCCAGGTATATCAAATTTTCCTCCATTCTAAAATTTGTAAACTGCATCTCTATGCTCTTCTCAAATATATTGATGTCTAAAGGATTCCAAAATCCTAGATACGAAATCATTAGTGTTTTGTTTATAACGTATTCTAAATTTTTACTTATCAGCAAATATATTTATTAATCAGAATTCTAGAAAAATAAATTAAATGTTACAAGATACCGGCATTTCTCTCCTTCTTAGACTTGAATAAAAAATTATTTTCACCCATTTTCGTATTCTTAAAATATTTCATTTATTTATTTTTTAAACTTCTTTATTTTATACTTTCGACCTTTTCCAACGGAAGCTACTTAATGCAATGCAATTAGTTTTAAATGTATTATCCAGTGTATGGTAATATTCTTAATATTTTGTTACCGGCATTCATTCATTCTATTTGCTGACTATATTCAAAAAGGTACTTTAGTGTTTAAAGTGTATTCTATTGCCTAGAAACGAAAATTTCATCTTTCTTTCATTTTATCTATATGGAAAAATAGAACGGAATTAAAATTAAAAAAAAATACCGTCATTAAGTTCATCGATCCTTTTTTTTTACAAGTTCTTGTTATATATATTCCAAACTCAACTGAATCAAAGATTTTCTTTTGTAAAATTGGTAAAACTGCATCGCAATTATCTTCTCAAATAAGATGAAGTTAAAATTAATGCAATCTCAAACATACAAAAACGTAATTGTTTTGGTTGTTATCTTTTCTGAGTTATTTCATTTTAACAAAATTTTAAAGTTTAACTTCGGAAGAAGAGAGAAAAATAAATTAAATGTAACAAGATACTGTGATTTGGATCCTTCTTATATTTGAACAAGAAATAATTTTTAATGTGTTTCGGATTCCAAAAATTTCTCATAACTTTCTTATCTTCTACTTTCCATGTCTTCCGATGTATGATACATAATGCTGTGAAATAAGTTATAAATGTATTATCTAATGTCTAGTGTGAATATTCTAAATATTTAATGACTGGCGTGCATTTATTCCATTTGCTGACGATAGATATTTTTGTTTTGAAAGTGTATTCTATTGCCTAGAAACTAATATTTCAGCGTTTTGTTAATTTTAACTGGATGAAAAGAAAAAATAATTAAGAGATACCGTCATTACGTTCATTTATAGTTTTATTCTCAAAATTTCTTGTTCCAGGTATATCAAATTTTCCTCCATTCTAAAATTTGTAAACTGCATCTCTATGCTCTTCTCAAATATATTGATGTCTAAAGGATTCCAAAATCCTAGATACGAAATCATTAGTGTTTTGTTTATAACGTATTCTAAATTTTTACTTATCAGCAAATATATTTATTAATCAGAATTCTAGAAAAATAAATTAAATGTTACAAGATACCGGCATTTCTCTCCTTCTTAGACTTGAATAAAAAATTATTTTCACCCATTTTCGTATTCTTAAAATATTTCATTTATTTATTTTTTAAACTTCTTTATTTTATACTTTCGACCTTTTCCAACGAAAGCTACTTAATGCTATGCAATTAGTTTTAAATGTATTATCCAGTGTATGGTAATATTCTTAATATTTTGTTACCGGCATTCATTCATTCTATTTGCTGACTATATTCAAAAAGGTACTTTAGTGTTTAAAGTGTATTCTATTGCCTAGAAACGAAAATTTCATCTTTCTTTCATTTTATCTATATGGAAAAATAGAACGGAATTAAAATTAAAAAAAAATACCGTCATTAAGTTCATCGATCCTTTTTTTTTACAAGTTCTTGTTATATATATTCCAAACTCAACTGAATCAAAGATTTTCTTTTGTAAAATTGGTAAAACTGCATCGCAATTATCTTCTCAAATATGATGAAGTTAAAATTAATGCAATCTCAAACATACAAAAACGTAATTGTTTTGGTTGTTATCTTTTCTGAGTTATTTCATTTTAACAAAATTTTAAAGTTTAACTTCGGAAGAAGAGAGAAAAATAAATTAAATGTAACAAGATACCGTGATTTGGATCCTTCTTATATTTGAACAAGAAATAATTTTTAATGTGTTTCGGATTCCAAAAATTTCTCATAACTTTCTTATCTTCTACTTTCCATGTCTTCCGATGTATGATACATAATGCTGTGAAATAAGTTATAAATGTATTATCTAATGTCTAGTGTGAATATTCTAAATATTTAATGACTGGCGTGCATTTATTCCATTTGCTGACGATAGATATTTTTGTTTTGAAAGTGTATTCTATTGCCTAGAAACTAATATTTCAGCGTTTTGTTAATTTTAACTGGATGAAAAGAAAAAATAATTAAGAGATACCGTCATTACGTTCATTTATAGTTTTATTCTCAAAATTTCTTGTTCCAGGTATATCAAATTTTCCTCCATTCTAAAATTTGTAAACTGCATCTCTATGCTCTTCTCAAATATATTGATGTCTAAAGGATTCCAAAATCCTAGATACGAAATCATTAGTGTTTTGTTTATAACGTATTCTAAATTTTTACTTATCAGCAAATATATTTATTAATCAGAATTCTAGAAAAATAAATTAAATGTTACAAGATACCGGCATTTCTCTCCTTCTTAGACTTGAATAAAAAATTATTTTCACCCATTTTCGTATTCTTAAAATATTTCATTTATTTATTTTTTAAACTTCTTTATTTTATACTTTCGACCTTTTCCAACGATAGCTACTTAATGCTATGCAATTAGTTTTAAATGTATTATCCAGTGTATGGTAATATTCTTAATATTTTGTTACCGGCATTCATTCATTCTATTTGCTGACTATATTCAAAAAGGTACTTTAGTGTTTAAAGTGTATTCTATTGCCTAGAAACGAAAATTTCATCTTTCTTTCATTTTATCTATATGGAAAAATAGAACGGAATTAAAATTAAAAAAAAAATACCGTCATTAAGTTCATCGATCCTTTTTTTTTACAAGTTCTTGTTATATATATATTCCAAACTCAACTGAATCAAAGATTTTCTTTTGTAAAATTGGTAAAACTGCATCGCAATTATCTTCTCAAATATGATGAAGTTAAAATTAATGCAATCTCAAACATACAAAAACGTAATTGTTTTGGTTGTTATCTTTTCTGAGTTATTTCATTTTAACAAAATTTTAAAGTTTAACTTCGGAAGAAGAGAGAAAAATAAATTAAATGTAACAAGATACCGTGATTTGGATCCTTCTTATATTTGAACAAGAAATAATTTTTAATGTGTTTCGGATTCCAAAAATTTCTCATAACTTTCTTATCTTCTACTTTCCATGTCTTCCGATGTATGATACATAATGCTGTGAAATAAGTTATAAATGTATTATCTAATGTCTAGTGTGAATATTCTAAATATTTAATGACTGGCGTGCATTTATTCCATTTGCTGACGATAGATATTTTCGTTTTGAAAGTGTATTCTATTGCCTAGATACTAATATTTCAGCGTTTTGTTAATTTTAACTGGATGAAAAGAAAAAATAATTAAGAGATACCGTCATTACGTTCATTTATAGTTTTATTCTCAAAATTTCTTGTTCCAGGTATATCAAATTTTCCTCCATTCTAAAATTTGTAAACTGCATCTCTATGCTCTTCTCAAATATATTGATGTCTAAAGGATTCCAAAATCCTAGATACGAAATCATTAGTGTTTTGTTTATAACGTATTCTAAATTTTTACTTATCAGCAAATATATTTATTAATCAGAATTCTAGAAAAATAAATTAAATGTTACAAGATACCGGCATTTCTCTCCTTCTTAGACTTGAATAAAAAATTATTTTCACCCATTTTCGTATTCTTAAAATATTTCATTTATTTATTTTTTAAACTTCTTTATTTTATACTTTCGACCTTTTCCAACGAAAGCTACTTAATGCTATGCAATTAGTTTTAAATGTATTATCCAGTGTATGGTAATATTCTTAATATTTTGTTACCGGCATTCATTCATTCTATTTGCTGACTATATTCAAAAAGGTACTTTAGTGTTTAAAGTGTATTCTATTGCATAGAAACGAAAATTTCATCGTTTCTTTCATTTTATCTATATGGAAAAATAGAATGGAATTAAAATAAAAAAAAAATACCGTTCATTAATTCTATTTGCTGACTATATTCAAAAAGGTACTTTAGTGTTTAAAGTGTATTCTATTGCCTAGAAACGAAAATTTCATCTTTCATTCATTTTATCTATATGGAAAAATAGAACGGAATTAAAATTAAAAAAAAATACCGTTCATTAATTCTATTTGCTGACTATATTCAAAAAGGTACTTTAGTGTTTAAAGTGTATTCTATTGCCTAGAAACGAAAATTTCATCATTTCTTTCATTTTATCTATATGGAAAAATAGAACGGAATTAAAATTAAAAAAAAATACCGTTCATTCATTCTATTTGCTGACTATATTCAAAAAGGTACTTTAGTGTTTAAAGTGTATTCTATTGCCTAGAAACAAAAATTTCATCTTTCTTTCATTTTATCTATATGGAAAAATAGAACGGAATTAAAATTAAAAAAAAACACCGTCATTAAGTTCATCGATCCTCTTTGTTTACAAGTTCTTGTTATATATATTTCAAACTCAACTGCATCAAAGATTTTCTTTTGTAAAATTAGTAAAACTGCATAGCAATTATCTTCTCAAATATGATGAAGTTAAAATTAATGCAATCTCAAACATACAAGAACGTAATTGTTTTGGTTGTTATCTTTTCTGAGTTATTTCATTTTAACATAATTTTAAAGTTTAATTTCGGTAGAAGAGAGAAAAATAAATTAAATGTAACAAGATACCGTGATTTGGATCCTTCTTATATTTGAACAAGAAATAATTTTTAATGTTTTTCGGATTCCAAAAATTTCTCATAACTTTCTTATCTTCTACTTTCCATGTCTTCCGATGTATGATACATAATGCTGTGAAATAAGTTATAAATCTATTATCTAATATCTAGTGTGAATATTCTAAATATTTAATGACTGGCGTGCATTTATTCCATTTGCTGACGATAGATATTTTTGTTTTGAAAGTGTATTCTATTGCCTAGAAACTAATATTTCAGCGTTTTGTTAATTTTAACTGGATGAAAAGAAAAAATAATTAAGAGATACCGTCATTACGTCCATTTATAGTTTTATTCTCAAAATTTCTTGTTCCAGGTATATCAAATTTTCCTCCATTCTAAAATTTGTAAACTGCATCTCTATGCTCTTCTCAAATATATTGATGTCTAAAGGATTCCAAAATCCTAGATACGAAATCATTAGTGTTTTGTTTATAACGTATTCTAAATTTTCACTTATCAGCAAATATATTTATTAATCAGAATTCTAGAAAAATAAATTAAATGTTACAAGATACCGGCATTTCTCTCCTTCTTAGACTTGAATAAAAAGTTATTTTCACCAATTTTCGTATTCATTTATTTGTATTCATTTATTTCGTATTCAAATATTTTATTTATTTATTCATAAAATATTTTATTTATTTATTTTTTAAACTTCTTTATTTTATACTTTCGACCATTTCCAACGAAAGCTACTTAATGCTATGCAATTAGTTTTAAATGTATTATCCAGTGTATGGTAATATTCTTAATATTTTGTTACCGGCATTCATTCATTCTATTTGCTGACTATATTCAAAAAGGTACTTTAGTGTTTAAAGTGTATTCTATTGCCTAGAAACGAAAATTTCATCATTTCTTTCATTTTATCTATATGGAAAAATAGAACGGAATTAAAATTAAAAAAAAATACCGTTCATTAATTCTATTTGCTGACTATATTCAAAAAGGTACTTTAGTGTTTAAAGTGTATTCTATTGCCTAGAAACGAAAATTTCATCTTTCTTTCATTTTATCTATATGGAAAAATAGAACGGAATTAAAATTTAAAAAAAATACCGTTCATTAATTCTATTTGCTGACTATATTCAAAAAGGTACTTTAGTGTTTAAAGTGTATTCTATTGCCTAGAAACGAAAATTTCATCATTTCTTTCATTTTATCTATATGGAAAAATAGAACGGAATTAAAATTAAAAAAAAATATCGTTCATTAATTCTATTTGCTGACTATATTCAAAAAGGTACTTTAGTGTTTAAAGTGTATTCTATTGCCTAGAAACGAAAATTTCATCATTTCTTTCATTTTATCTATATGGAAAAATAGAACGGAATTAAAATTAAAAAAAAATACCGTACTTGTTATATATATTCCAAACTCAACTGCATCAAAGATTTTCTTTTGTAAAATTAGTAAAACTGCATAGCAATTATCTTCTCAAATATGATGAAGTTAAAATTAATGCAATCTCAAACATACAAGATCGTAATTGTTTTGGTTGTTATCTTTTCTGAGTTATTTCATTTTAACAAAATTTTAAAGTTTAACTTCGGAAGAAGAGAGAAAAATAAATTAAATGTAACATGATACCGTGATTTGGTTCCTTCTTATATTTGAACAAGAAATAATTTTTAATGTTTTTCGGATTCCAAAAATTTCTCATAACTTTCTTATCTTCTACTTTCCATGTATTCCGATGTATGATACATAATGCTGTGAAATAAGTTATAAATGTATTATCTAATGTCTAGTGTGAATATTCTAAATGTTTAATGACTGGCATGCATTTATTCCATTTTTTGACGATAGATATTTTTGTTTTGAAAGTGTATTCTATTGCCTAGAAACTAATATTTCAGCGTTTTGTTAATTTTAACTGGATGAAAAGAAAAAATAATTAAGAGATACCGTCATTACGTTCATTTATAGTTTTATTCTCAAAATTTCTTGTTCCAGGTATATCAAATTTTCCTCCATTCTAAAATTTGTGAACTGCATCTTTATGCTCTTCTCAAATATATTGATGTCTAAAGGATTCCAAAATCCTAGATACGAAATCATTAGTGTTTTGTTTATAACGTATTTTAAATTTTTACTTATCAGCAAATATATTTATTAATCAGAATTCTAGAAAAATAAATTAAATGTTACAAGATACCGGCATTTCTCTCCTTCTTAGACTTGAATAAAAAAATATTTTCACCCATTTTCGTATTCTTAAAATATTTCATTTATTTATTTTTTAAACTTATTTATTTTATACTTTCGACCTTTTCCAACGAAAGCTACTTAATGCTATGCAATTAGTTTTAAATGTATTATCCAGTGTATGGTAATATTCTTAATATTTTGTTACCCGCATTCATTCATTCTATTTGCTGACTATATTCAAAACGGTACTTTAGTGTTCAAAGTGTATTCTATTGCCTAGAAACGAAAATTTCATCATTTCTTTCATTTTATCTATATGGAAAAATAGAATGGAATTAAAATTAAAAAAAAATACCGTTCATTAATTCTATTTGCTGACTATATTCAAAAAGGTACTTTAGTGTTTAAAGTGTATTCTATTGCCTAGAAACGAAAATTTCATCTTTCTTTCATTTTATCTATATGGAAAAATAGAACGGAATTAAAATTAAAAAAAAATACCGTTCATTAATTCTATTTGCTGACTATATTCAAAAAGGTACTTTAGTGTTTAAAGTGTATTCTATTGCCTAGAAACGAAAATTTCATCATTTCTTTCATTTTATCTATATGGAAAAATAGAACGGAATTAAAATTAAAAAAAAATACCGTTCATTAATTCTATTTGCTGACTATATTCAAAAAGGTACTTTAGTGTTTAAAGCGTATTCTATTGGATAGAAACGAAAATTTCATCATTTCTTTCATTTTATCTATATGGAAAAATAGAACGGAATTAAAATTAAAAAAAAATACCGTACTTGTTATATATATTCCAAACTCAACTGCATCAAAGATTTTCTTTTGTAAAATTAGTAAAACTGCATAGCAATTATCTTCTCAAATATGATGAAGTTAAAATTAATGCAATCTCAAACATACAAGATCGTAATTGTTTTGGTTGTTATCTTTTCTGAGTTATTTCATTTTAACAAAATTTTAAAGTTTAACTTCGGAAGAAGAAAGAAAAATAAATTAAATGTAACATGATACCGTGATTTGGTTCCTTCTTATATTTGAACAAGAAATAATTTTTAATGTTTTTCGGATTCCAAAAATTTCTCATAACTTTCTTATCTTCTACTTTCCATGTCTTCCGATGTATGATACATAATGCTGTGAAATAAGTTATAAATGTATTATCTAATGTCTAGTGTGAATATTCTAAATATTTAATGACTGGCATGCATTTATTCCATTTGCTGACGATAGATATTTTTGTTTTGAAAGTGTATTCTATTGCCTAGAAACTAATATTTCAGCGTTTTGTTAATTTTAACTGGATGAAAAGAAAAAATAATTAAGAGATACCGTCATTACGTTCATTTATAGTTTTATTCTCAAAATTTCTTGTTCCAGGTATATCAAATTTTCCTCCATTCTAAAATTTGTAAACTGCATCTCTATGCTCTTCTCAAATATATTGATGTCTAAAGGATTCCAAAATCCTAGATACGAAATCATTAGTGTTTTGTTTATAACGTATTCTAAATTTTTACTTATCAGCAAGTATATTTATTAATCAGAATTCTAGAAAAATAAATTAAATGTTACAAGATACCGGCATTTCTCTCCTTCTTAGACTTGAATAAAAAATTATTTTCACCCATTTTCGTATTCATTTATTTGTATTCATTTATTTCGTATTCAAATATTTTATTTATTTATTCATAAAATATTTCATTTATTTATTTTTTAAACTTCTTTATTTTATACTTTCGACCATTTCCAACGAAAGCTACTTAATGCTATGCAATTAGTTTTAAATGTATTATCCAGTGTATGGTAATATTCTTAATATTTTGTTACCGGCATTCATTCATTCTATTTGCTGACTATATTCAAAAAGGTACTTTAGTGTTTAAAGTGTATTATATTGCCTAGAAACGAAAATTTCATCATTTCTTTCATTTTATCTATATGGAAAAATAGAACGGAATTAAAATTAAAAAAAAATACCGTTCATTAATTCTATTTGCTGACTATATTCAAAAAGGTACTTTAGTGTTTAAAGTGTATTCTATTGCCTAGAAACGAAAATTTCATCTTTCTTTCATTTTATCTATATGGAAAAATAGAACGGAGTTCAAATTAAAAAAAAATACCGTCATTAAGTTCATCGATCCTCTTTTTTTACAAGTTCTTGTTATATATATTCCAAACTCAACTGCATCAAAGATTTTCTTTTGTAAAATTAGTAAAACTGCATAGCAATTATCTTCTCAAATATGATGAAGTTAAAATTAATGCAATCTCAAACATACAAGAACGTAATTGTTTTGGTTGTTATCTTTTCTGAGTTATTTCATTTTAACATAATTTTAAAGTTTAATTTCGGTAGAAGAGAGAAAAATAAATTAAATGTAACAAGATACCGTGATTTGGATCCTTCTTATATTTGAACAAGAAATAATTTTTAATGTTTTTCGGATTCCAAAAATTTCTCATAACTTTCTTATCTTCTACTTTCCATGTCTTCCGATGTATGATACATAATGCTGTGAAATAAGTTATAAATGTATTATCTAATGTCTAGTGTGAATATTCTAAATATTTAATGACTGGCATGCATTTATTCCATTTGCTGACGATAGATATTTTTGTTTTGAAAGTGTATTCTATTGCCTAGAAACTAATATTTCAGCGTTTTGTTAATTTTAACTGGATGAAAAGAAAAAATAATTAAGAGATACCGTCATTACGTTCATTTATAGTTTTATTCTCAAAATTTCTTGTTCCAGGTATATCAAATTTTCCTCCATTCTAAAATTTGTAAACTGCATCTCTATGCTCTTTTCAAATATATTGATGTCTAAAGGATTCCAAAATCCTAGATACGAAATCATTAGTGTTTTGTTTATAACGTATTCTAAATTTTTACTTATCAGCAAGTATATTTATTAATCAGAATTCTAGAAAAATAAATTAAATGTTACAAGATACCGGCATTTCTCTCCTTCTTAGACTTGAATAAAAAATTATTTTCACCCATTTTCGTATTCATTTATTTGTATTCATTTATTTCGTATTCAAATATTTTATTTATTTATTCATAAAATATTTCATTTATTTATTTTTTAAACTTCTTTATTTTATACTTTCGACCATTTCCAACGAAAGCTACTTAATGCTATGCAATTAGTTTTAAATGTATTATCCAGTGTATGGTAATATTCTTAATATTTTGTTACCGGCATTCATTCATTCTATTTGCTGACTATATTCAAAAAGGTACTTTAGTGTTTAAAGTGTATTATATTGCCTAGAAACGAAAATTTCATCATTTCTTTCATTTTATCTATATGGAAAAATAGAACGGAATTAAAATTAAAAAAAAATACCGTTCATTAATTCTATTTGCTGACTATATTCAAAAAGGTACTTTAGTGTTTAAAGTGTATTCTATTGCCTAGAAACGAAAATTTCATCTTTCTTTCATTTTATCTATATGGAAAAATAGAACGGAATTCAAATTAAAAAAAAATACCGTCATTAAGTTCATCGATCCTCTTTTTTTACAAGTTCTTGTTATATATATTCCAAACTCAACTGCATCAAAGATTTTCTTTTGTAAAATTAGTAAAACTGCATAGCAATTATCTTCTCAAATATGATGAAGTTAAAATTAATGCAATCTCAAACATACAAGAACGTAATTGTTTTGGTTGTTATCTTTTCTGAGTTATTTCATTTTAACATAATTTTAAAGTTTAATTTCGGTAGAAGAGAGAAAAATAAATTAAATGTAACAAGATACCGTGATTTGGATCCTTCTTATATTTGAACAAGAAATAATTTTTAATGTGTTTCGGATTCCAAAAATTTCTCATAACTTTCTTATCTTCTACTTTCCATGTCTTCCGATGTATGATACATAATGCTGTGAAATAAGTTATAAATGTATTATCTAATGTCTAGTGTGAATATTCTAAATATTTAATGACTGGCATGCATTTATTCCATTTGCTGACGATAGATATTTTTGTTTTGAAAGTGTATTCTATTGCCTAGAAACTAATATTTCAGCGTTTCGTTAATTTTAACTGGATGAAAAGAAAAAATAATTAAGAGATACCGTCATTACGTTCATTTATAGTTTTATTCTCAAAATTTCTTGTTCCAGGTATATCAAATTTTCCTCCATTCTAAAATTTGTAAACTGCATCTCTATGCTCTTTTCAAATATATTGATGTCTAAAGGATTCCAAAATCCTAGATACGAAATCATTAGTGTTTTGTTTATAACGTATTCTAAATTTTTACTTATCAGCAAGTATATTTATTAATCAGAATTCTAGAAAAATAAATTAAATGTTACAAGATACCGGCATTTCTCTCCTTCTTAGACTTGAATAAAAAATTATTTTCACCCATTTTCGTATTCATTTATTTGTATTCATTTATTTCGTATTCAAATATTTTATTTATTTATTCATAAAATATTTCATTTATTTATTTTTTAAACTTCTTTATTTTATACTTTCGACCATTTCCAACGAAAGCTACTTAATGCTATGCAATTAGTTTTAAATGTATTATCCAGTGTATGGTAATATTCTTAATATTTTGTTACCGGCATTCATTCATTCTATTTGCTGACTATATTCAAAAAGGTACTTTAGTGTTTAAAGTGTATTATATTGCCTAGAAACGAAAATTTCATCATTTCTTTCATTTTATCTATATGGAAAAATAGAACGGAATTAAAATTAAAAAAAAATACCGTTCATTAATTCTATTTGCTGACTATATTCAAAAAGGTACTTTAGTGTTTAAAGTGTATTCTATTGCCTAGAAACGAAAATTTCATCTTTCTTTCATTTTATCTATATGGAAAAATAGAACGGAGTTCAAATTAAAAAAAAATACCGTCATTAAGTTCATCGATCCTCTTTTTTTACAAGTTCTTGTTATATATATTCCAAACTCAACTGCATCAAAGATTTTCTTTTGTAAAATTAGTAAAACTGCATAGCAATTATCTTCTCAAATATGATGAAGTTAAAATTAATGCAATCTCAAACATACAAGAACGTAATTGTTTTGGTTGTTATCTTTTCTGAGTTATTTCATTTTAACATAATTTTAAAGTTTAATTTCGGTAGAAGAGAGAAAAATAAATTAAATGTAACAAGATACCGTGATTTGGATCCTTCTTATATTTGAACAAGAAATAATTTTTAATGTTTTTCGGATTCCAAAAATTTCTCATAACTTTCTTATCTTCTACTTTCCATGTCTTCCGATGTATGATACATAATGCTGTGAAATAAGTTATAAATGTATTATCTAATGTCTAGTGTGAATATTCTAAATATTTAATGACTGGCATGCATTTATTCCATTTGCTGACGATAGATATTTTTGTTTTGAAAGTGTATTCTATTGCCTAGAAACTAATATTTCAGCGTTTCGTTAATTTTAACTGGATGAAAAGAAAAAATAATTAAGAGATACCGTCATTACGTTCATTTATAGTTTTATTCTCAAAATTTCTTGTTCCAGGTATATCAAATTTTCCTCCATTCTAAAATTTGTAAACTGCATCTCTATGCTCTTTTCAAATATATTGATGTCTAAAGGATTCCAAAATCCTAGATACGAAATCATTAGTGTTTTGTTTATAACGTATTCTAAATTTTTACTTATCAGCAAGTATATTTATTAATCAGAATTCTAGAAAAATAAATTAAATGTTACAAGATACCGGCATTTCTCTCCTTCTTAGACTTGAATAAAAAATTATTTTCACCCATTTTCGTATTCATTTATTTGTATTCATTTATTTCGTATTCAAATATTTTATTTATTTATTCATAAAATATTTCATTTATTTATTTTTTAAACTTCTTTATTTTATACTTTCGACCATTTCCAACGAAAGCTACTTAATGCTATGCAATTAGTTTTAAATGTATTATCCAGTGTATGGTAATATTCTTAATATTTTGTTACCGGCATTCATTCATTCTATTTGCTGACTATATTCAAAAAGGTACTTTAGTGTTTAAAGTGTATTATATTGCCTAGAAACGAAAATTTCATCATTTCTTTCATTTTATCTATATGGAAAAATAGAACGGAATTAAAATTAAAAAAAAATACCGTTCATTAATTCTATTTGCTGACTATATTCAAAAAGGTACTTTAGTGTTTAAAGTGTATTCTATTGCCTAGAAACGAAAATTTCATCTTTCTTTCATTTTATCTATATGGAAAAATAGAACGGAGTTCAAATTAAAAAAAAATACCGTCATTAAGTTCATCGATCCTCTTTTTTTACAAGTTCTTGTTATATATATTCCAAACTCAACTGCATCAAAGATTTTCTTTTGTAAAATTAGTAAAACTGCATAGCAATTATCTTCTCAAATATGATGAAGTTAAAATTAATGCAATCTCAAACATACAAGAACGTAATTGTTTTGGTTGTTATCTTTTCTGAGTTATTTCATTTTAACATAATTTTAAAGTTTAATTTCGGTAGAAGAGAGAAAAATAAATTAAATGTAACAAGATACCGTGATTTGGATCCTTCTTATATTTGAACAAGAAATAATTTTTAATGTTTTTCGGATTCCAAAAATTTCTCATAACTTTCTTATCTTCTACTTTCCATGTCTTCCGATGTATGATACATAATGCTGTGAAATAAGTTATAAATGTATTATCTAATGTCTAGTGTGAATATTCTAAATATTTAATGACTGGCATGCATTTATTCCATTTGCTGACGATAGATATTTTTGTTTTGAAAGTGTATTCTATTGCCTAGAAACTAATATTTCAGCGTTTCGTTAATTTTAACTGGATGAAAAGAAAAAATAATTAAGAGATACCGTCATTACGTTCATTTATAGTTTTATTCTCAAAATTTCTTGTTCCAGGTATATCAAATTTTCCTCCATTCTAAAATTTGTAAACTGCATCTCTATGCTCTTTTCAAATATATTGATGTCTAAAGGATTCCAAAATCCTAGATACGAAATCATTAGTGTTTTGTTTATAACGTATTCTAAATTTTTACTTATCAGCAAGTATATTTATTAATCAGAATTCTAGAAAAATAAATTAAATGTTACAAGATACCGGCATTTCTCTCCTTCTTAGACTTGAATAAAAAATTATTTTCACCCATTTTCGTATTCATTTATTTGTATTCATTTATTTCGTATTCAAATATTTTATTTATTTATTCATAAAATATTTCATTTATTTATTTTTTAAACTTCTTTATTTTATACTTTCGACCATTTCCAACGAAAGCTACTTAATGCTATGCAATTAGTTTTAAATGTATTATCCAGTGTATGGTAATATTCTTAATATTTTGTTACCGGCATTCATTCATTCTATTTGCTGACTATATTCAAAAAGGTACTTTAGTGTTTAAAGTGTATTATATTGCCTAGAAACGAAAATTTCATCATTTCTTTCATTTTATCTATATGGAAAAATAGAACGGAATTAAAATTAAAAAAAAATACCGTTCATTAATTCTATTTGCTGACTATATTCAAAAAGGTACTTTAGTGTTTAAAGTGTATTCTATTGCCTAGAAACGAAAATTTCATCTTTCTTTCATTTTATCTATATGGATAAATAGAACGGAATTAAAATTAAAAAAAAATACCGTCATTAAGTTCATCGATCCTCTTTTTTTACAAGTTCTTGTTATATATATTCCAAACTCAACTGCATCAAAGATTTTCTTTTGTAAAATTAGTAAAACTGCATAGCAATTATCTTCTCAAATATGATGAAGTTAAAATTAATGCAATCTCAAACATACAAGAACGTACTTGTTTTGGTTGTTATCTTTTCTGAGTTATTTCATTTTAACATAATTTTAAAGTTTAATTTCGGTAGAAGAGAGAAAAATAAATTAAATGTAACAAGATACCGTGATTTGGATCCTTCTTATATTTGAACAAGAAATAATTTTTAATGTTTTTCGGATTCCAAAAATTTCTCATAACTTTCTTATCTTCTACTTTCCATGTCTTCCGATGTATGATACATAATGCTGTGAAATAAGTTATAAATGTATTATCTAATGTCTAGTGTGAATATTCTAAATATTTAATGACTGGCATGCATTTATTCCATTTGCTGACGATAGATATTTTTGTTTTGAAAGTGTATTCTATTGCCTAGAAACTAATATTTCAGCGTTTCGTTAATTTTAACTGGATGAAAAGAAAAAATAATTAAGAGATACCGTCATTACGTTCATTTATAGTTTTATTCTCAAAATTTCTTGTTCCAGGTATATCAAATTTTCCTCCATTCTAAAATTTGTAAACTGCATCTCTATGCTCTTTTCAAATATATTGATGTCTAAAGGATTCCAAAATCCTAGATACGAAATCATTAGTGTTTTGTTTATAACGTATTCTAAATTTTTACTTATCAGCAAGTATATTTATTAATCAGAATTCTAGAAAAATAAATTAAATGTTACAAGATACCGGCATTTCTCTCCTTCTTAGACTTGAATAAAAAATTATTTTCACCCATTTTCGTATTCATTTATTTGTATTCATTTATTTCGTATTCAAATATTTTATTTATTTATTCATAAAATATTTCATTTATTTATTTTTTAAACTTCTTTATTTTATACTTTCGACCATTTCCAACGAAAGCTACTTAATGCTATGCAATTAGTTTTAAATGTATTATCCAGTGTATGGTAATATTCTTAATATTTTGTTACCGGCATTCATTCATTCTATTTGCTGACTATATTCAAAAAGGTACTTTAGTGTTTAAAGTGTATTATATTGCCTAGAAACGAAAATTTCATCATTTCTTTCATTTTATCTATATGGAAAAATAGAACGGAATTAAAATTAAAAAAAAATACCGTTCATTAATTCTATTTGCTGACTATATTCAAAAAGGTACTTTAGTGTTTAAAGTGTATTCTATTGCCTAGAAACGAAAATTTCATCTTTCTTTCATTTTATCTATATGGAAAAATAGAACGGAGTTCAAATTAAAAAAAAATACCGTCATTAAGTTCATCGATCCTCTTTTTTTACAAGTTCTTGTTATATATATTCCAAACTCAACTGCATCAAAGATTTTCTTTTGTAAAATTAGTAAAACTGCATAGCAATTATCTTCTCAAATATGATGAAGTTAAAATTAATGCAATCTCAAACATACAAGAACGTAATTGTTTTGGTTGTTATCTTTTCTGAGTTATTTCATTTTAACATAATTTTAAAGTTTAATTTCGGTAGAAGAGAGAAAAATAAATTAAATGTAACAAGATACCGTGATTTGGATCCTTCTTATATTTGAACAAGAAATAATTTTTAATGTTTTTCGGATTCCAAAAATTTCTCATAACTTTCTTATCTTCTACTTTCCATGTCTTCCGATGTATGATACATAATGCTGTGAAATAAGTTATAAATGTATTATCTAATGTCTAGTGTGAATATTCTAAATATTTAATGACTGGCATGCATTTATTCCATTTGCTGACGATAGATATTTTTGTTTTGAAAGTGTATTCTATTGCCTAGAAACTAATATTTCAGCGTTTCGTTAATTTTAACTGGATGAAAAGAAAAAATAATTAAGAGATACCGTCATTACGTTCATTTATAGTTTTATTCTCAAAATTTCTTGTTCCAGGTATATCAAATTTTCCTCCATTCTAAAATTTGTAAACTGCATCTCTATGCTCTTTTCAAATATATTGATGTCTAAAGGATTCCAAAATCCTAGATACGAAATCATTAGTGTTTTGTTTATAACGTATTCTAAATTTTTACTTATCAGCAAGTATATTTATTAATCAGAATTCTAGAAAAATAAATTAAATGTTACAAGATACCGGCATTTCTCTCCTTCTTAGACTTGAATAAAAAATTATTTTCACCAATTTTCGTATTCATTTATTTGTATTCATTTATTTCGTATTCAAATATTTTATTTATTTATTCATAAAATATTTCATTTATTTATTTTTTAAACTTCTTTATTTTATACTTTCGACCATTTCCAACGAAAGCTACTTAATGCTATGCAATTAGTTTTAAATGTATTATCCAGTGTATGGTAATATTCTTAATATTTTGTTACCGGCATTCATTCATTCTATTTGCTGACTATATTCAAAAAGGTACTTTAGTGTTTAAAGTGTATTCTATTGCCTAGAAACGAAAATTTCATCATTTCTTTCATTTTATCTATATGGAAAAATAGAACGGAATTAAAATTAAAAAAAAATACCGTTCATTAATTCTATTTGCTGACTATATTCAAAAAGGTACTTTAGTGTTTAAAGTGTATTCTATTGCCTAGAAACGAAAATTTCATCTTTCTTTCATTTTATCTATATGGAAAAATAGAACGGAATTAAAATTAAAAAAAAATACCGTCATTAAGTTCATCGATCCTCTTTTTTTACAAGTTCTTGTTATATATATTCCAAACTCAACTGCATCAAAGATTTTCTTTTGTAAAATTAGTAAAACTGCATAGCAATTATCTTCTCAAATATGATGAAGTTAAAATTAATGCAATCTCAAACATACAAGAACGTAATTGTTTTGGTTGTTATCTTTTCTGAGTTATTTCATTTTAACATAATTTTAAAGTTTAATTTCGGTAGAAGAGAGAAAAATAAATTAAATGTAACAAGATACCGTGATTTGGATCCTTCTTATATTTGAACAAGAAATAATTTTTAATGTGTTTCGGATTCCAAAAATTTCTCATAACTTTCTTATCTTCTACTTTCCATGTCTTCCGATGTATGATACATAATGCTGTGAAATAAGTTATAAATGTATTATCTAATGTCTAGTGTGAATATTCTAAATATTTAATGACTGGCATGCATTTATTCCATTTGCTGACGATAGATATTTTTGTTTTGAAAGTGTATTCTATTGCCTAGAAACTAATATTTCAGCGTTTCGTTAATTTTAACTGGATGAAAAGAAAAAATAATTAAGAGATACCGTCATTACGTTCATTTATAGTTTTATTCTCAAAATTTCTTGTTCCAGGTATATCAAATTTTCCTCCATTCTAAAATTTGTAAACTGCATCTCTATGCTCTTTTCAAATATATTGATGTCTAAAGGATTCCAAAATCCTAGATACGAAATCATTAGTGTTTTGTTTATAACGTATTCTAAATTTTTACTTATCAGCAAGTATATTTATTAATCAGAATTCTAGAAAAATAAATTAAATGTTACAAGATACCGGCATTTCTCTCCTTCTTAGACTTGAATAAAAAATTATTTTCACCCATTTTCGTATTCTTAAAATATTTCATTTATTTATTTTTTAAACTTCTTTATTTTATACTTTCGACCTTTTCCAACGAAAGCTACTTAATGCTATGCAATTAGTTTTAAATGTATTATCCAGTGTATGGTAATATTCTTAATATTTTGTTACCGGCATTCATTCATTCTATTTGCTGACTATATTCAAAAAGGTACTTTAGTGTTTAAAGTGTATTCTATTGCCTAGAAACGAAAATTTCATCATTTCTTTCATTTTATCTATATGGAAAAATAGAACGGAATTAAAATTAAAAAAAAATACCGTTCATTAATTCTATTTGCTGACTATATTCAAAAAGGTACTTTAGTGTTTAAAGTGTATTCTATTGCCTAGAAACGAAAATTTCATCTTTCTTTCATTTTATCTATATGGATAAAATGGCATGCACTGGACTGGCATGCATATATTCTATTTGCTAACGATAAATATTTTTGTGTTGAAAGTGCATTCTATTGAATAGAATTGATTATTTCAGCGTTTTGTTTATTTTACCTGGATGAAAAGAAAAAATATACAAGAAATACCGTCTTTACGTCCATTTATCGTTTAATTTAAAAAATTCCTGGTTTCGTGTATATAAAATTTTTCTCTATTCTAAAATTTGTAAACTGCATCTCTATAATCTTTTCAAATATATTGATGTCTAAAAGATTCCAAAATCCTGGATACGAATTCATTAGTGTTTTGTTTATAACGTTTTCTAAATTATTACTTATCAATAAATATATTAATTTATTAATCAGAATTCCAGAAAAAGAAAAATAAATATATTAAATGTTACAAGATACCGGCATTTCTCTCCATCTTATACTTGAATAAAAAACTATTTCCACCGATTTTCAGATTCCTAAAATTTTTCATTTTTTTATTATTTTAAATTCCTTATCTTCTACTTTCGAGCTTTTCAAACGTATGATACTTAATGCTATACAAATAGTTTAAAATGTATTATCTAGTGTATTGTAATATTCTTAATATTTTGTTACCGGTATGCATTCATTCTATTTGCTGACGATATTCAAAAAGGTATTTTTGTGTATAAAGTTTATTCTATTGCCTAGAAACGAAAATGTCAGCGTTTCTTTCATTTTATCTATATGGAAAAATAGAAAGGAATTAAAATTAAAAAAAACGGTAAAGAAATACGCTCATTAAGTTTATCCATCCTCTTTTTTACAAGTTCTTGTGGGATATATTCCAAACATAACTAAATCAAAAATTATCTTTTTTAAAATTTTTAAAACTACATCGCTATGATCTTCTCCAATATGATGATGTCTAAATGATTGAGATCTCTAACATACAAAAGCGTTAGTGTTTTGGTCATTACCTTTTCTTAGTTATTGCATTTTAACAAATTTTTGAAAGTTTAATTTCGGAAGAAGAGAGAAAAATAAATTAAATGTAACAAGATACCGTGATTTGGATCCTTATTATATTTGAACAAAAAATAATTTTCCTGTGTTTCAGATTCCGAAAATTTCTTATAAATTTCTTATCTTCTACTTTCCATTTCTTCCGATGTATGATACTTAATGCTGTGAAATACGTAAAAATATATTGTAATAATCTAGTGTATTGTAATATTCTTAATATTTTGTTACCGGTATGCATTCATTCTATTTGCTGACGATATTCAAAAAGGTATTTTGTGTATAAAGTTTATTCTATTGCCTAGAAACGAAAATGTCAGCGTATTTTTCATTTTATATATATGGAAAAATAGAAAGGAATTAAAATTAAAAAAAAAGGTAAAGAAATACGCTCTTTAAGTTCATCGATCCTCTTTTTTACAAGTTCTTGTGCGATATATTCCAAACTTAACTAAATCAAAAATTATCTTTTTTAAAATTTTTAAAACTGCATCGCTATGATCTTCTCCAATATGATGATGTCTAAATGATTGCAATCTCTCACATACAAAAGCGTTAGTGTTTTGGTCATTACCTTTTCTTAGTTATTGCATTTTAACAAATTTTTGAAAGTTTAATTTCGGAAGAAGAGAGAAAAATAAATTAAATGTAACAAGATACCGTGATTTGGATCCTTCTTATATTTGAACAAAAAATAATTTTCCTGTGTTTCAGATTCCGAAAATTTCTTATAAATTTCTTATCTTCTACTTTCCATTTCTTCCGATGTATGATACTTAATGCTGTGAAATAGGTTAAAATATATTATCAAGTGTCTAGTGTATTGTTAATAATATTTAATGACTGGCATGCATATATTCTATTTGCTGACGATAAATATTTTTGTGTTGAAAATGCATTCTATTGAATAGAATTGATTATTTCAGCGTTTTGTTTATTTTACCTGGATGAAAAGAAAAAATATACAAGAAATACCGTCTTTACGTCCATTTATCGTTTAATTTAAAAAATTCCTGGTTTCGTGTATATCAAATTTTTCTCTATTCTAAAATTTGTAAACTGCATCTCTATAATCTTCTCAAATATATTGATGTCTAAAAGATTCCAAAATCCTAGATACGAATTCATTAGTGTTTTGTTTATAACGTTTTCTAAATTATTACTTATCAATAAATATATTAATTTATTAATCAGAATTCCAGAAAAAGAAAAATATATATATTAAATGTTACAAGATACCGGCATTTCTCTCCATCTTATACTTGAATAAAAAACTATTTCCACCGATTTTCAGATTCCTAAAATTTTTCATTTTTTTATTATTTTAAATTCCTTATCTTCTACTTTCGAGCTTTTCAAACGTATGATACTTAATGCTATACAAATAGTTTAAAATGTATTATCTAGTGTATTGTAATATTCTTAATATTTTGTTGCCGGTATGCATTCATTCTATTTGCTGACGATATTCAAAAAGGTATTTTTGTGTATAAAGTTTATTCTATTGCCTAGAAACGAAAATGTCAGCGTTTCTTTCATTTTATCTATATGGAAAAATAGAAAGGAATTAAAATTTAAAAAAACGGTAAAGAAATACGCTCATTAAGTTTATCGATCCTCTTTTTTACAAGTTCTTGTGGGATATATTCCAAACTTAACTAAATCAAAAATTATCTTTTTTAAAATTTTTAAAACTGCATCGCTATGATCTTCTCCAATATGATGATGTCTAAATGATTGCAATCTCTCACATACAAAAGCGTTAGTGTTTTGGTCATTACCTTTTGTTAGTTATTCCATTTTAACAGATTTTTGAAACTTTAATTTCGGAAGAAGAGAGAAAAATAAATTATATGTAACAAGATACCGTGATTTGGATCCTTCTTATATTTGAACAAAAAATAATTTTCCTGTGTTTCAGATTTTGAAAATTTCTCATAACTTTCTTATCTTCTACTTTCCATTTCTTCCGATGTATGATACTTAATGCTGTGAAATAGGTTAAAATATATTATCAAGTGTCTAGTGTATTGTTAATAATATTTAATGACTGGCATGCATATATTCTATTTGCTGACGATAAATATTTTTGTGTTGAAAGTGCATTCTATTGAATAGAATTGATTATTTCAGCGTTTTGTTTATTTTACCTGGATGAAAAGAAAAAATATACAAGAAATACCGTCTTTACGTCCATTTATCGTTTAATTTAAAAAATTCCTGGTTTCGTGTATATCAAATTTTTCTCTATTCTAAAATTTGTAAACTGCATCTCTATAATCTTCTCAAATATATTGATGTCTAAAAGATTCCAAAATCCTAGATACGAATTCATTAGTGTTTTGTTTATAACGTTTTCTAAATTATTACTTATCAATAAATATATTAATTTATTAATCAGAATTCCAGAAAAAGAAAAATATATATATTAAATGTTACAAGATACCGGCATTTCTCTCCATCTTATACTTGAATAAAAAACTATTTCCACCGATTTTCAGATTCCTAAAATTTTTCATTTTTTTATTATTTTAAATTCCTTATCTTCTACTTTCGAGCTTTTCAAACGTATGATACTTAATGCTATACAAATAGTTTAAAATGTATTATCTAGTGTATTGTAATATTCTTAATATTTTGTTACCGGTATGCATTCATTCTATTTGCTGACGATATTCAAAAAGGTATTTTTGTGTATAAAGTTTATTCTATTGCCTAGAAACGAAAATGTCAGCGTTTCTTTCATTTTATCTATATGGAAAAATAGAAAGGAATTAAAATTAAAAAAAACGGTAAAGAAATACGCTCATTAAGTTTATCCATCCTCTTTTTTACAAGTTCTTGTGGGATATATTCCAAACTTAACTAAATCAAAAATTATCTTTTTTAAAATTTTTAAAACTGCATCGCTATGATCTTCTCCAATATGATGATGTCTAAATGATTGCAATCTCTCACATACAAAAGCGTTAGTGTTTTGGTCATTACCTTTTCTTAGTTATTGCATTTTAACAAATTTTTGAAAGTTTAATTTCGGAAGAAGAGAGAAAAATAAATTAAATGTAACAAGATACCGTGATTTGGATCCTTATTATATTTGAACAAAAAATAATTTTCCTGTGTTTCAGATTCCGAAAATTTCTTATAAATTTCTTATCTTCTACTTTCCATTTCATCCGATGTATGATACTTAATCCTGTGAAATACGTTAAAATATATTGTAATAATCTTGTGTATTGGAATATTCTTAATATTTTGTTACCGGTATGCATTCATTCTATTTGCTGACGATATTCAAAAAGGTATTTTGTGTATAAAGTTTATTCTATTGCCTAGAGACGAAAATGTCAGCGTATTTTTCATTTTATATATATGGAAAAATAGAAAGGAATTAAAATTAAAAAAAAAAGGTAAAGAAATACCCTCATTAAGTTCATCGATCCTCTTTTTTACAAAATCTTGTGCGATATATTCCAAACTTAATTAAATCAAAAATTATCTTTTTTAAAATTTTCAAAACTGCATCGCTATGATCTTCTCCAATATGATGATGTCTAAATGATTGCAATCTCTCACATACAAAGGCGTTAGTGTTTTGGTCATTACCTTTTCTTAGTTATTGCATTTTAACAAATTTTTGAAAGTTTAATTTCGGAAGAAGAGAGAAAAATAAATTAAATGTAACAAGATACCGTGATTTGGATCCTTCTTATATTTGAACAAAAAATAATTTTCCTGTGTTACAGATTTTGAAAATTTCTCATAACTTTCTTATCTTCTACTTTCCATTTCTTCCGATGTATGATACTTAATGCTGTGAAATAGGTTAAAATATATTATCAAGTGTCTAGTGTATTGTTAATAATATTTAATGACTGGCATGCATATATTCTATTTGCTGACGATAAATATTTTTGTGTTGAAAATGCATTCTATTGAATAGAATTGATTATTTCAGCGTTTTGTTTATTTTACCTGGATGAAAAGAAAAAATATACAAGAAATACCGTCTTTACGTCCATTTATCGTTTAATTTAAAAAATTCCTGGTTTCGTGTATATCAAATTTTTCTCTATTCTAAAATTTGTAAACTGCATCTCTATAATCTTCTCAAATATATTGATGTCTAAAAGATTCCAAAATCCTAGATACGAATTCATTAGTGTTTTGTTTATAACGTTTTCTAAATTATTACTTATCAATAAATATATTAATTTATTAATCAGAATTCCAGAAAAAGAAAAATAAATATATTAAATGTTACAAGATACCGGCATTTCTCTCCATCTTATACTTGAATAAAAAACTATTTCCACCGATTTTCAGATTCCTAAAATTTTTCATTTTTTTATTATTTTAAATTCCTTATCTTCTACTTTCGAGCTTTTCAAACGTATGATACTTAATGCTATACAAATAGTTTAAAATGTATTATCTAGTGTATTGTAATATTCTTAATATTTTGTTACCGGTATGCATTCATTCTATTTGCTGACGATATTCAAAAAGGTATTTTTGTGTATAAAGTTTATTCTATTGCCTAGAAACGAAAATGTCAGCGTTTCTTTCATTTTATCTATATGGAAAAATAGAAAGGAATTAAAATTTAAAAAAACGGTAAAGAAATACGCTCATTAAGTTTATCCATCCTCTTTTTTACAAGTTCTTGTGGGATATATTCCAAACATAACTAAATCAAAAATTATCTTTTTTAAAATTTTTAAAACTGCATCGCTATGATCTTCTCCAATATGATGATGTCTAAATGATTGCAATCTCTCACATACAAAAGCGTTAGTGTTTTGGTCATTACCTTTTCTTAGTTATTGCATTTTAACAAATTTTTGAAAGTTTAATTTCGGAAGAAGAGAGAAAAATAAATTAAATGTAACAAGATACCGTGATTTGGATCCTTCTTATATTTGAACAAAAAATAATTTTCCTGTGTTTCAGATTCCGAAAATTTCTTATAAATTTCTTATCTTCTACTTTCCATTTCTTCCGATGTATGATACTTAATGCTGTGAAATAGGTTAAAATATATTATCAAGTGTCTAGTGTATTGTTAATAATATTTAATGACTGGCATGCATATATTCTATTTGCTGACGATAAATATTTTTGTGTTGAAAGTGCATTCTATTGAATAGAATTGATTATTTCAGCGTTTTGTTTATTTTACCTGGATGAAAAGAAAAAATATACAAGAAATACCGTCTTTACGTCCATTTATCGTTTAATTTAAAAAATTCCTGGTTTCGTGTATATCAAATTTTTCTCTATTCTAAAATTTGTAAACTGCATCTCTATAATCTTCTCAAATATATTGATGTCTAAAAGATTCCAAAATCCTAGATACGAATTCATTAGTGTTTTGTTTATAACGTTTTCTAAATTATTACTTATCAATAAATATAATAATTTATTAATCAGAATTCCAGAAAAATAAAAATAAATATATTAAATGTTACAAGATACCGGAATTTCTCTCCATCTTATACTTGAATAAAAAACTATTCCCACCGATTTTCAGATACTTAAAATATCTCGTTTTTTATTATTTTAAATTCCTTATCTTCTACTTTCGATCTTTTCAAACGTATGATACTTAATGCTATACAATTAGTTTAAAATTTATTATCTAGTGTGTTAACGCCGCATAGGCTTATTCTTAATTTTTTCATTATTATTTTTTCTCACATTTACCTCTTTTCAATGTTAACAATAAAATGTTTATTTTTTATTTTTGTAAAAGTTTGAGGTACAATTGTCCCTAAAATGTATTTAAGTTTATGTATTTTTATATTTAGGCTTATTTTGCGATGTATTATCGCGTATTTATATGCACCAGCCCGGCAGTAATACCCTGTCTTAGGGATTAAAACACCAAAATACTGCGATAATACTGTCGGGATGCGGTCTTAAGTCAGTCTGGAGCTGGCCTTCGTTATGGGCCCACGTAGTGGCCAATTTTTCTCACTTACTCACCTGCCCTGTCGTTTTTTTTGGGAGTCTGGAGATATAGCTCTTGTCGATATTAGACCCATATAGTGGAAGTCTACCCCCACCAATCTCACCAAGCTCCAGGCCGTCTAATCTCCTTCACATCACCAACGCCAACGCTTTTAAGTATTGTTTATCTCAACTTTTATATAGATTTATATCTCTTTTTCTTTCTCAATAAATTGTAAACATTCAAAAGGGGATTTTTTTTATTTTCCATTTTTTTAATTTTATTGAAATATCTCTATTTTTTTAAAAATATTTTCTTGTGCATGTATTTGTTTTTTCTCTAATGTTTTATAGGTCTCAGTATTCAGTAATTTTTTTTCTCCTTCTTTCCCAACGTTTTTTAATTTTTCTCGAATTTTCCCACCATTGAGGAAACGCACCGGGGAAAGATCTGTACTTCGATTTTGAAGTACCCCTGGCCCCAACATCTTTTGGTCCAGTCCGGGCCGGATATACTAGCGCTTTATTTTGGTCCTCCGATTTTTTTATTCCTCAAAAATTTTTATTTTTTTTTTATTCGAGTAAAATTATTTTCGTTTTGGGAAACAGTGTTATTTGTTTTTCTAAATCTCTCTAATTCTCTGTTTACGTGTAATTAATTCTTTTCTCTCGTTTTTTAGTTTGTTTGGTGCAATTTTTACTATCTCTCGTTTCTGTTATCTCTATAAGTCTCCGTTCACGTTTAATTTTCTCTCTCTCTCTCTTTAATTTGTTTCGTGTGAATTTATTTATCTCTCGTTTTCGAAACCTTTTTAAATCGCTCAGTTCACGTTTAATTTTCTCTCTCTCTCTATCGTTAATATATTTTTGTGTAATATTCGTTTGAGGTTTTTTATTCTTTAAGATGCCTCCAAAAATTTCAAATGAGGAACAGGAAGCGAAGTTGGCTGATCTAGAAGATCAATTAGATGATTTAGCCACAGATGTTAGGACGACCACCGCTATAGGGCTGAGTCTATCCACCGATCCATCTCGTAAATCGTTGTTTTTGGCTAGAATTTCTCGTATCGATGCCACATATGAGCGGTTCGAGCTTATTTTTAGTGAAATTAATTCTCTCGCGAGGAGATTGAACGTTTCGAGGGACAAATATAAAATATTAAAAGATGAGGTAAGCGACTCTTACTACGAGGCTTTATCTCTTAAAAATAAAATTGAACGGGACTCTAATAAATCAGATGTTGA